TATGCGCACACTTGACAAGCGTCGCTGCACAGTAAGTAAGAGACATAGGCAATTGCAAGATCCCATCATCCTTCATATGCCACAACACAAGCCATACATTTTGGTCGCACTCATCTGCCAGGTTCGTCACGAGGCTCGCTGGCCCTCGGATGGGCTGAGAAGCTGATCGCAGTCCCTCTAAGACCGGCTGTCGCGGTCCCGAAACTACTGCGGGCCTGCGGCAGGGACCCTCATAGATTTGGCGAAACTCGATATCGTCTGGACTCGGCTCCACACGGAGCCACGCCGCCCGCAGCCTGCGCAGTTTATCTTCGACACCATCGCCCTGACCTCACAACCGCCTGTGTTTAGCTATAACTTGTCTCTCCACACCATTTTTTTCGTTCGCAGAACCATATACGACAATGATCGACCACGACCAATCTTCTGACAACAAACGCAAGCCCCTGCTGTCTGTTCCCTCCGAAGAGCTCTCTGCATCTTTGCCTCCCTATACCGATTATCCTCGCTATACCGATGATCCTGAGCTGGGCGGACCCCTTTGGGTTAACACGCAGATCTCAGTTCGCCCCGTGAAGGCCGAGAAGAAGAGGAACTGCGCCCGCAGGTGCCATCGTGTCTGCCTGGCGTTCTGCACCACGCTCCTGCTGCTCATCTGCCTGCCCGTGTTCCTGCGCCACTTCGCATGGTTCAACGTGAGTTCGTAGCGTGACATTGCCTTGCTCATCAACTCACCACATCCTGCTCACAATGCAGCGGATCTTCGAGACCGAGCTCGACCCTGAAGTTCTGCGCGACTGTATCGACTTGGCAGACTGGCAGAAGGGCCGCATGGAATTGGACGACCTGTACAACCCGAACCGTGACCTGAAGCACATTGCGGCGACAACATTTGAGCTCCCCGTGGACTCGGACCTGCTATATCTCGTCGCGCGCGGAGCGCTCTCTCATGGCAAGGTCACGATATCAAGCTCGGGAGAGGAAGGATCGGACAAGATGGTCGTGCACGTCCGGATGCAGTATGCGCATGAGGACGCCCTCAACAGGACCAAAGTATGCTTGCTCAGCCCTCCGGAAGGTGGAATTGGTGTCGGTATCTTTGTATGTTTTTTGTCTTTATCAGCAGCCTGTAAATAGACACTAATGATTGAAATAGAGCCCGCCCACTATGATCGGAAGCAAGTGGCACACGAACATCGAGATCGACGTGAAGCTACCTCCTGGTTCTGCAGGCGTTCCGACTATAATCAAGGAGTTTACGACGGACATGCCGTTGTTCATGCATCGTGTTCATGACATGCAAACTGTACTTTTCGAAAGCGTCTCTCTGAGCACGTCGCTCCTGCCCATCGTCGCAAACGTCAGTCAATTAATGTACCGATGGTTTCCTGAGCACATTTGCTCATTGCATCCTAGTCGCTCAACGCTATTGAAGGTGTTGTGAGCACGACGAACGCGATGATCGAGGGAACTTTCAATACCTCTAGCCGCCTGGCCCTGCGGACGTCGAACGCCCCCATTAAGGCCACCGTATTCATGTTCAATGACAACGAGGGCAGCCCTACGGAGCTCTTGGCCTACACCTCGAATAGGTACGTCTGCCATCGCATGCATCAGACAATGATGGCCATCCTTATATTATCTCTCAGTCGCATTGATACCATCATCGAGTTGAACTCGACCAGCGCGAACGGCACGGACGGTACTTTCACGGTCGACGCACGCACGTCCAACGCGCCGATCGATGTCTCCACGCGCAGTGCACCAGTCGGGCACGCGCTCGCGCTTACTGCGGAGACGTCGAACTCGCCGGTAACTGTCGCGCTATCCCCGACCTGGGAGGGCACGTTCGACGTGCGCACCTCGAGCCTCTTCACATCCTCCGTTGACGTGCACACGGACATCCCGGACCCCGCGGGCCAGGGACGCATACGCCGCGCGTTCGTGCGCGGCGTAACCAGGGGCCACGTGGAGGGCTTTGCGGAGTGGGAGGAGGGGCGGAGGACTGTTGGCAGAGTGAACATCGGGACGTCCAACTCGCCGCTCAAGCTCTACGTCTAGCTCGACGCTGAACACAATCACTCGCCTGTATGACGCTCATGATATATTGCGGTTCGAACGTTCACAGGATGCCAATTGTACTGGTCCTCGGCTCTGATGGACTGCATTTGGTTTGGAATCGGACTCTGGTCTTCTCTCAATCTGGCCTCCGTCGCACGCCGCCTGTCAAGTTGTGGTGATGCAGATAAGAATGCCTGAAATACCTTCTGTAATTCCGACGTAGACCATCCTGTCTATTTACAAAACAACAAATTAAGGTGCTCCACTTCCTCTAATGCAGCTAAGATCATCGAGGGTGGCATAAAGTAATCATTTCGACACAGCCCAGTTCAAACATGGGCGTCCGCGTCAATCTCATGTGGCAGCTTACTGTGAAATTACTGACGGAACTCAAACACAGGACCCCACGACGGAGTCTGCGCGGCCCTGATGACTCTACCTGAAACTCTTATAATCCGTCGCAGCAGCTGTCGGCTGCGATCCAACAGACCATGGAGGACTTGAAGGATACCGAACACTTGACCGATAGCAAGCATTGTCTCCCGCTTCCCGTCTCGTCCGTCGCCCCCAGCGTGGAAGCAGAGAAGACGGGGACGCGGACAAAGAGGCGCCTCCAGTTCATGCCGCTCCTGTATGCATTTGGCGGCGCACTTCTGCTCGCTGCATGCTTGCGGACCATAATGAAGAGACGCACTACACCTGTTCGCTTCACATTCGACTCCGTATTAACTGCCTGCTAATGTTCGTTCACCAGTTTCTGTGTTCATTTCCTGCTTACGACGTGGTGCATATGTCTGGGTACCTGGAGTCGCATCACAAGTGTATTGACAAGGCTCTCTGGATGAAGAGCAGGAAGCCAAGGCTCAGGGCAGAAGCATTATTCAAATTGCCGCTGGCGTCCGACGTCTTACACCTTGTCTCCCGTGGTTCTATCCAGCACGGACAGGTTCATGTCGTGAGCCCGGGCTATGCCAGTGGAGATCCGGAATCCATCGCAGTCCGAATATTTGCAGAGTATACGGACGAAGCAGCGTTGGACAGGGTTTCGATTTGTCTCGGCCATCCTGACGAGAATCAGCATGGCATCGAAATTATAGTATGTAAAAATCCTCACGCTGCTCCGAACATCTCCTCACATACGCTACAGAGCCCTCAGGATTTAGACGATTATTCAGACGGAGTCAACTTGACCATCATAATAATCATTCCACCGGGTAGCTCGTGGGACGTGCCGACCCGAGTCAACAGTCTCAACGCGAGCATGCCCAACTTTGGCTTCGAGTTCGGTAACTTGGAAGACAGCGTCTGGTTTGACTCATTGACTTTGAGCTCTTCGGGACGACCAATCAACTCGAAGGTGAGGACCCAGAATCATCCCGAGCTGTGCCCTGATCCTGACTCTTTTGTAGAGCCTCGCTGTCGGCCACGCAGCTATACATGCGTCAAATGCTTCTATTCAAGGTCGATTCATGGTATCGGACTCACTCAATCTTAACACGTCGAACGCACCGATCAGCGCGGAGTTGCAGGTATTGCATGATGAAGGGGCAAGTGCCACGGAAATTTCAGCGTATACAGTATTTGACGGGTGGGTATTTTCGATATTGATATTGAGGTACTCGTCAACATGCTGATGGCACGCACCATATGCAGCTTCATCGAACTCAAGACGGTTCGCCTAAATACCACTTTGGGTCGCGGTGGAACCCGCCCTTACATGATCGACATCCGCAGCATTGATGCGAGACCGTTTGGTGCCGTCGATACTGATACTGATCTCACCTGGGACATAGCACCTGAAGGGTACATCCGACACACGCTCTTGAGGAGGCGAAATTGGTCGCACCTCATGTGGTCCACGATAGAACAAGGCTCTTTGTTGCTGAAGCATTCCCCGTTTGAGCGCATGTTAGAGGGTTACCACGATCACGCAAAAGGCGATGTTGGGTTAGAGTGCAAGAAAATGGTACTGAGGCACATATGGTATTCTACTCTATATTCGCCCACGGAACAAGATTTGGCCAGTGTGGAGATGAAAGAGTGGTTCGCGGGCAAAGGACGCACTGTCGGTCTGATCACATTGAAAATATCGGACATATCAGATTAGGCCTTTGAGGGCAGTACTTTACGGTAGACAGGTCAATCTGACATACAGTTCATCGAGTCGACAAATGAAGGCAGGAATCGCAATTGATTGGCGAGGTACTGTGTAATCACATAACTGTATGATGGTATGTTCCGAGTCCCGACTGGAGTATTCATAGGTGTTCAAGCACAATGCCTCTGAGAAATTGCGATGCATCTGAGGCTGTGCAGCGCTAGGAGGCAGTTCTAATCCGGGCTTCTGTCCTTCTTTATTTGGGTTTGTCCAGCGATGTCTGATGTAGTGACGCATGTGGACAAATTTGAGAGACCGGCTATGTTGTTGGGCATGTATCAATAAGACGTCGGTTTTATGACATATTTCGACAATTGCGTGACGCAGTAGATGAGAGCACCAGAAGACTACTCGCAGAGCCCATTCCCCGAGATGATGTCGTCGTATCAGCGCGTATCGACTCATCGAGCCGCACGCACAGTCTCACGCATCGCGACTAGCACGAGGCAGGGCTGCAGTCCACACTGGTAAACCTAAAGCACGGCGTGGGTCCAGAGCTAATTAGGGAAAATTCATGGATAAGCGGGAGGTGGAAGAGTGGCGCGCAGTGTCGATCAGGTAGTGCTGGAGGTGCACGACCTTCAGATCCCCATACGATGAGTGCAGTCTTATGGAAGTCCTTGATAAGATGGGCTACGGTTGCCACACTCCCATCGTCATGTCATCCGAATGTGACTTGTGGTACACAATGGGGCTAAACTGCCAGCTTGAACCGAGTTGAGTACGTTAATAGCGCCAAAAAGAGAGCTAAAATATTGGAGTACTGCCTCCAATATTACACAGGCGCTACCAGGGCTCGAACCTGGGTTTTGGGAAGGAGAACCATGTTGTGCGGTGGTCAGCGACTGTCTCCGGTGGTCAGAATCCCAAGTGATAACCACTACACTATAGCGCCTTCACGAAGCGCTCTGAGGGTGTCATACCATGATCAGGATGCACAGAGGAGAGAGGATCAAAACTAGGCCAGAGGAAAGCGAGAGAAGAAGAGGATTTCAGATGGAGGCAGCAAAGCATGAGTTGAACGTGATCGGAGGCTCGATCATGTCCGATCGAGGCGGTGCTCACTGCCAAGAAGACCAAGCACTGAGCAGCGCCCAGCACGCGGCACTCGGTGTAGTAAACACTACGCTACGACATGCCACAAGCTCTGCCTCTGTTAGTTGATGATCTTCTAGGACTACAATTATCTTCTCCGCACTCCCCGTCCTCGCTGATGCCGAACCCCGCGTCTCCTTAGATGAAATCTGGAACTGTTGGCGGTACGTGGAGTAGGCGACTGAGACACCCGTGTCTTTTGCTTGGTTGTGTTTGTTACAAATGGCTGGCGCTTGCTGCAATTAGAGGGGCGCGCAGGCGCACTGGCAACCTTGACAAGCACAAGGTCCTACCTATGCCCCGGACTCACACCTTCAGGCAGACAGCCCCAAGCTAGTCACATTGACAGGCGCTTGCCCTCGGCCTTGGATATACTGTAGTCGAGGTAATTATAACAAACGGCTGTGACCATGTGACCTAACAAACAGGTCGAAATCGTAACAAATTCGGCCCTCGGGGCCATGACAAAATCATAAAAAGGGATGGAAACCATCAAATATGAGGATCTGCGAGCCCATAGGGCTCGCAGTAGGCAAAATTTGGTGTTTTCTGCGATTTACAGACCTTTCTGAGCACTCTTAACCTATTTCATGGTCCGAAGGCACCCTGTTTGTGACGTGACAAGAGGCCGAGTTAACAAAACAAACGAACATCGTGACGTGACCATTTGTTATAATTACCTCGACTACAGTATTCCCGAAGTGCAAATGCGCGATGACCTCAAGGCAGTCGTGAAGGTGATGAACCATATTACCGGGGAAGTTATCGATCATCCGGCAGAACTGCAGCGTGTATACTGCGAAGGCAGGGCGATCGGTATCATATCCCTTTGCACAAACTGGATCTGTATATTGATTAGCAGCTAGGTCAGACTACGGGAGAAGCCTGACAAAATGAGAGAGAGCGACCCTCAATGAGATGAGAAATTGCATCGACTGACCTCATTACTATAATTGATGTGTTTGGCTGGCCCCGCACGTAAGACTCCATATATGCAGAGGGCACTGTCTGATATTGTTCGTAGGAAGTGTGATAGCCGTGCTCAGAACCATTGTGTGAATCACTAACTACGCAAAATATATATAAACCTCACGTTGGAGTTGAACAAGCGCACGTGCATATCCTCACGCGAAGTTGAACTTCGCCACAATCTCAGGAGTCAGCGGTACTTCTCCCATCCCCACACTGACTTCCGCCTGGAATGACCTCCTCAATGACAATGGAAGACAAAATACTGGCTAAGCTAGACCTGCTCGCCCGCCTTCCGACCATGTCCGACGAAGACAGATTCAAGGCTTACCAGGAGTTCCGAGCCGAACGTGTGGCCGGTTTGCCTGACAGCCTGAAGCCCCAGAAACCGGTAAGAATTTTATGGCTTGAACATACAGCTGTGATCTACTCACAAGCCACAGCCGCATTCCTTGGCACTCGCTCGACAGACCCCTGCTCTGCCAAAACTGGAGCGAATTCTGCGCGCGCCATACTCGTTCGAGCCCCTTCCTCCGAGGCTACACTACGGCTATCCAATCACCGTCGACAGGCTGCAAGAGCTCGCCCTCGGCCTTGGGTACACTCCCGAAGTACCGATGCGCAGTGATCTCAAAGCGGTCGCGAAGGTGATGAACCACATCATGGGCGAGGTTATCGAGCATCCGGCAGACTTGAAGCTTGTGTACTGTGAGGACAAGCTGGTCGGGATTATATCCCTCTGCACGAACTGGGCACCGAGCGCCAGATGGAAAGAGATTGGCCCCAAGCTTAAGGAGTACCTTGGCGAGATTGAGGACCCAAAGTGGTATCTCGACATGGATCATTGGTACTGGAGGTCGGATTTGTAGAGAATATGTACGGAATCGGTCTGTAGCAAATGTCTGTTGTAATCGCCTTGTCGAAATGTCATTGCCAGCGAAATATCAGACGCGCCAGGTTCGACACTGCTGCGAACGCTGACATTGAACATCCTAAGCCACAGTTCGAACTCAAAACCTCCACGCGACGCGACGCGCTTACAGACTGCGCGGCCCGGGTTGGGCGAAGGTCCACCGATGACGTGAGAGCCATCAATTTGGCTCGCTCACAAAGATCATCAGAAAGACGTGGAAAATAAAGGGAAGCTCAGCGAGTTCATGTAGTGACCCTATACCTGAACGGAGAAACAAACGACGACGCTCCAGATCGACGTCGATTAGTCTGCGCATGGGAGGACTTCGCGCTAGCGCGACCACGATGTGCAACCCACCGGAAGATGATGCCAGGTTACAGCTGTGTTCGACGCCGTTGAAGTGCCTTTGAGTACAACGAAGGGTCCATCGGGACAACAACTAGCTGTCCTGAACGCCACTCGCCGTACTTTCGAGCCTGCCAGAGTCCTGGGCGCTTTGGAGCGTCTCCCAAGCGTGTCAGGATCGCAGGTAGTGAGGAAGGCGCGCAAAGTGCGCGAACACTAATCGTGAACTGTTCTGATGCCGAGCGGGGCGATCCTAGAGTGCACCAGAGCCATCCTGGCAGGGGGAAGATGTTCTGAATATGGTTCAGCAACATTTTGCTTGGTACGAGCCCAGGACGCAGACGGAGCAGACGCGCGAGAACATGAGACGTGCTTAGATTATTGTAGACTCTTTGAAACGATGGGCGAGGAGTCATACTTGAGGGCCTACTGTTACCAACTGTCTGCATTTCGAGCGGACACCCGCCAATAGAACCCCATCAAGCAGCAGCTTCGTCCTCCGGGAAGTACAGCTTGCGCAAAAGGACATGTCAGTTGAACCTAGGGTCCTGGCGGTGCGGAAAGCAGACACTGTCAGGCACGCGTGATAGACGTGATGGAAGGTACCGCGCAGTCTCGTCTGTCTAAATCGTGTGTGATCAGACAGCACTGTCTGGAGCTTTGTAAATGCCGGTATTTCGAATACGTCTGTCGCCGTAGAGTCTGGGAAGCACAACGCACAGCCAACAGAACGGGGATGTCTCCCTGAAGTCGAAGGTTGTGCCCTGCATGAGGAACAGTCGTGGTCCGCACGTGCCGGTTCCAACCGGGATGGCGTCTACATGGGACTGGTGTATCCGGGGCAACGATGGCGCAATGGCGCGCAACGGCGAGCGTCAAGATATCAGAGCAAACGCTTGTTTTGTTACGTTGCATCGGCTTGGTGCCGTCCGGACGTCCCCGCCCGGCTTTGCCTGCCAGGGACCCGGGGAGATGTGCTGGGTCAATCGTACAGACGAATTGTAAAATCGAGGTCAGCCAGTGCAGTTCTCCATCTCGTTGTAGGGCTCACACTCTCAGAGTTGGAAGAGCTCATATTGTCAATCACACGACAACGCTAAAAGCATGCTGGGCGGGGGATCGTTCCTGTCAGACAGGCTGATGCGCGATACTCCATATATGCAGGGCGTACCTATCTGAGATCTTTCGTTATAGGTGTGATGGTCATACACAGACCACTGTGTGAGTTGCTAACTACGCAACGCAAAGGCCAGTCGCTGCGGAGGAGGAGGAGGACATAACACCCGGTTCGGAACACCGGGGTCCTGTACCCATACTAGTATGGGGTAGGGCAGGTACTACCTAGCATGTACAGGACATAACCGCCTCGCCACCGCTTTCGAAAAAGCTGTACCAGAGCTACCACTACTGCTACAGAAGTACACTCAAAGCACAGACTGGGCCATCGTCACGAGCCGACTACCAGGCGCGGCTCAGTGGTCAGTCGGCGACTCCGGGGCCTACCTCGATACTACGAGTGTATAGGGCACTTCGAGCAAGGTGAGCATGTGGGTGAGAAATACAACGAGCATAAATGATGGAATGATCTGTAGAGAGCGTCTTGCGTCATACGTTTTAGGCGTCCTCGACGAACTACGGAAGCGAAGAGCTGCCCACTTTGGCAGGCCTCCTTCCTTTTTTGGTGCGGATGCCTCAGAACACTGCTGTCATCATCAGCTTCTATCTCTATGAACGCTTCTGCGTCTATATTTATTATCTGCTTCTGCATCGGCGTTCTATCTTAGTTCATTGACGTCCATCTTTATTGGATTGGACGTGAGTACAGCCCAAAACATATATATAATGGCGTCGCGTTGACCTCGAGCATACACCTTCTTTTCCCCCTTCCACCACCATCTCCTATGGGTCTGCGAATCCGTCCCATGGCACGTTTTGGAGGCAATGAGTCGAGTCACCGACCGACATTCAAGGAGACGAAACCGCGCGTGTGAGGTGACGTGCAGCGCACACGGCTGGCTCCGACAGGTGGCTGACGCTCATCTACCTCCACAGTAGTGCGACCACCGGTTCGAGGCACGCGAGCGCATGCGCTGACGGTATCTCTGACTCGGAGCTCGCTCAGCCAAAGTGCTGCGAGCAGGACCCCGTGAAACTCCTCGGAACGGACCAGTCGGGAATGCTTCCGCGCCTGGCTGAGATGAGAGGTGAGCACCTCAGTTCGTAGGAGAAAGCTTGCGCCGCAAACGGGCAGACTGACGCTTATCTCTACAGAACCCGCCCCCGGCCGCGCGCGCCCGGTCAAACCCCGGCAGCTGCTTGCGTTCGTGCGACATGGGCGGTGCATTCCAAAACCGGGGTCCTCAGGGAGAGCGGAGTGCGCCAGCCACATTCGAAACAGGACCAAACAAATCCCATACCGTTATCAGACTGCGCGTGCGCGGCCCTCTCGCACCACCATCGTCAAGGACATCCACGACGATGTTCATCATCCCCCTCCTCGCTGCCTCGCTGGCGTATGCCAGCCCTCTGTCCACCTTCCCTCACGATGTTCCCCGCGAGCGGACAGGGCTCACATTCGCGCCGCTGATGGCGGAGCACCACCCGCACGGGACCGTCAACGGGTCGTACATTGTCATGTTCCGCGACGACATCGCGCCCACCCTCATGCAGAACCACATGAACTTCGTCGCCAGTGCGCACGAGGAGGTGCCACTCGTCGGTGACGGCTCCGACGGCCTCACCCACATCTATGACGGACACGTGAAGGGCTACGCCGGCAAGTTCAGCGAGGCGACTGTGTCCCGGATACGACAGATGCCTGAGGTCGAGTATGTCGAGCTCGACCAGATTGTGAAGACATTAGAGATCGCGCCTACCATGGATTCGTTTGAGACGCAGAGGGGCGCTCCATGGGTATATTGCTTCCGCAAGCGCCGTTCTCCTGTTACTGACCCTCGGTATTTCAGGGTCTTGCACGCGTGTCTCACCGACCACGGCTGACGTTCAGCACATTCACGAAGTACGAGTATGATAAGGATGGAGGAGAGGGCGTTGACGTGTACGTCATCGACACCGGTATCTTCGTGGGCCACGCCGAGTTCGAGGGCCGCGCATCGTGGGGCAAGACAGTCCCGCAGAACGATGTTGACGAAGACGGGAATGGCCACGGCACGCACTGCGCCGGTACCATCGCGTCGCGCAAGTACGGCATTGCAAAGAAGGCACACGTGGTCGCCGTCAAGGTGCTTGGCAGCAACGGCAGCGGCACGATGAGCGACGTCGTCTCCGGTGTCGTCTGGGCGGCGGAGTCCGCTGCCGCGAAGATGGCGGCTGCGAAGGAGGAGCTCGCACGCACCGGCAAGACGAAGCACAAGGGCTCTGTTGCGAATATGTCCCTCGGCGGCGGCAAGTCTCGGGCTCTTGACGACACTGTCAACAAGGCTGTCGACAACGGCATGCACTTCTCCGTCGCAGCAGGTATGTCATTTGTCAGCCACAATCCGAATTGACTGCGCATATACTGACTGATGCACAAGGTAACGACAACCGGGACGCGTGCAACAACTCGCCGGCGGCCGCCGAGAAGGCGGTCACCGTCGGCGCGTCGACGCTCGGCGACGAGCGTGCCTACTTCTCCAACCACGGCACCTGCGTCGACGTGTTCGCCCCCGGCCTGAACATCCTCTCGACCTGGGTCGGCAGCCCCGTCGCGACGTCCACGCTCTCCGGCACGTCCATGGCGTCCCCGCACACCGCCGGCATGCTCGCGTACCTCCTCTCGATCTACCCCTCCAAGACGTTCAACCCCGCGCTCGAACCCGACCTCGCCGCGCCGGCGCTGCTGCGTGTGTACGCGGCGGCGCACGCGGTGCTGCCCGGATGGGCGGCTGCATTCTTGCCCCCGCACGCGCTCGTCGAGGCCGTCGCGCCCACGCCGAAGGACCCGACGCTCACCCCCGCGGAGCTCAAGCGCCAGCTGCTGTTGCTTTCGACGCCTGGTGCGCTCGATGAGCTGCCCAAGGGCACGCCGAACTTGCTCATCTTCAACAACGCCACTGCGTAAGTCGAGAGGCGTGTGTTGTTCGTTGTGAGCGGCGTGGGGTGCTCACGCTGTGTGAGGGTGGATATCCGGGCCGCTCGTGGGCTTTTGTGCACTGCGAGAGGCGCCATGTCATGTATGAGAGGGTTGGGACCGGTACTGGTGTTGGATGTGTTTTACGTGTCACGTTGTACTTCTGCTTGTTCCTGTATAGTCATTAGTATCATGAAATACGCATGCATGGATCTGTATGAGAGCGGATCGTGGTTGTAAGCGTCCAGTTATGAATTGCAAAATAGTGGGTTGTTGAGCCTGCCCGGGTTGTGCGCGAGGGCGTGGGGTGGTCGTGTGCTCTTCAAATTGATCTGGAACAAAACGTACATTCCACTAATTACGTGACGAGAGTGGGATTCGAACCCACGCCCTTTCGGACCAGATTGACCATTCGCCACAGAACCGATCACCTTAGTCTGGCGCCTTAGACCGCTCGGCCATCTCGCCATAAAGCGCTGTGCTCCTGTAGCTCACTAGGGCTATTTGAGGCTTTCGAGTCGGTGGAAAAGAGCAGCCGAGCAGCATGCTGGGGGAGGACTCGAGAGCACAGGAGAGCAAAAAAGCAGCAGCAGTTGCCTATGGTACTGATGAGAGTGGGATTCGAACCCACGCCCTTTCGGACCAGATGAACACAGAGTTCCTTAGTCTGGCGCCTTAGACCGCTCGGCCATCTCACCATATAGACGCGTCTCGTGCGGGCGGTGCCGATGTGCGAGGCTGAGGTTGGCCGAGGTGCGGGTGAGTGAGAGGCGGGATGAGTTGCGATATTCTTGTTCTCGTGCGCGGGATGGAAGGTGTTCGTGGGGTGTGATAATATGGTACGGGCGTGTGGATGTGCTTGTACGCGAATGTAGCCGATGTCACCCAACTCCACGGTTCGAAATCGAGACAGTCTGACAACCTCACAACCTACAGATTCATGCAACATCGAAATACGCAGTACGGGCCTGGCGTGGGCTAACCAAGTTAGTTGTTGCCAGGCCATATCGCTTCTCCAAAAAAATACGCAGTGAAATCGACCTTTACAGCTACATTACATCGATCCATTCTGCACTTTCATCCCATGCAAAACTACTCAGAACCGCAGAGCCACAGGCCCACGCATGGTCCCGACGACTACGCGCCCGCCCGCGTCGCCCTGCCCACCCGGCGCCCACTCTACATACCCGCCCAGCTCGCCCTCCCGCTCGCGCACAATCTGGACTTTCCTTGTGCGCCCGCGGCCGCTCGGGTCCGGCGCGGCGGGGTCATACTCGAGGGACGGCGCTACCTCGGACGAGCGCAGCGCGAAGGTGCCCTCCCACCCAGGGTGCAGCGCTACGGACGCGGGCGCGCCGGACGTGAGCGCGGTGAGCGCGAGGAAGGGGGGCCGGGCCGGCGGGAAGGGCCCGGGGAACGGTGCGGGCTGAGAAGGGGGAGGGGAAGGGGGAGGCGCGACGAACGTGCGGATAGTGAGCGGGCTCTCGCTCGCGCGGGCGTCGATCTGGAATGTGCCCGGAATGCTTGGTGGGGAGATGAGCTCTGCGGTCAGGTCGAGGGGCCTGGGCGGGTGTTAGCGCGGTGCAGTGGGGGGCGAGCACATCTGGCGGAGACATACCCAGGGAAGGACGTGCGTGCCCAGAGCGCGGTCGCTCCGTCCTGGAGGCTGCCCGAGTTGCGGAGCTGTGTGTCGGCGCGGATGGGCGCGCGCGACGTGATTAGTGAGAGGGAACTCGAAATGTTGAAGCGACCCTCGATTTCGGCCTGTGATGTGCGGAGCGTCGCACGGCGCGCTGCGAGGCTCTGCAGGAACGTCAAGTTTATCGCGGTGGATAGAGGAGCTGCATATGGGTACTTACGTCTGCGATAATGGGTTTGTTCGATGTGCTCAGTGATATCGTGTCAAATAGCACAGTATCTTGCAGATGGTCCACTTTGATTTCGAATTGCGGCATGTCGAGCTCGAGCTGCTTGACCAGGGATGGCGAGTCTCGAGAAGGTCCGGGCGGGATCTGCACATCGATCGTGAATGATCCTGCATATTCTGGACTATCTAGGCCGGGAGGGCTCTACCGTCGTAAATTAGCGTTGTTCCCGTTCGTACATAAGAATACGACTCGGCGGACTTACGAATATCCCAACACCATAGCGGTTCTGTCGCGGACGCATCAAGCATACCGTTGTCTCATCGAAAGTCTTGTTATGGAGGAAGCCTATTTCGACATTGAAGATTACCTCTCCCGAGGAAGCCACGCCAGTATCCGTTATGTGGACGGTCCCACGTGCCAGCGACCCGCGGCCCACGAGGTGCAGAACTTCCAATGTGAGGGGGAGCGCAAACGATGCCGATGCGTACTGCACTGTATGATTAGGGTACGGTGGCATCGGGAACCGCGTCATCGTCCAGTTTGCATTCGCGGCACAGTCCGCGCGTGTCCATCCGTGAACATTTATGCCTACGTCCCAGGACCCAAACTCATCGAGGCCGGTTTCGGGAGTGCCCCACTCGCGCTTCGGCTGCAAATATAACACAATCCAGGAGTGGGGTGTTATACGCGCACAGGATAGCGTAGAGTACGTACAGATTCGACATGAGCTTCATCTGGTGACTGCAGCAGCAAGACGTATGGGACGAAGAGAACCATGAGCCATATCGCGCCGCAGAAGAAGCTGAGCATAGCTAGCTGGCACCTCTTCTTTCGTATCGCCATCTCTTCGGAACTCTTCAGGTCATCTTCGACGCAGGCCAGATTGGTTGTAATATCTGTAGGAGACAGGAACACCGGGAGGAGATTCTTCTCATCCTCCCTAGCTGTTTGAGCGACCGTCATTATTTGTCGCGCACGGTTATCGCATCGTCGAGTGATATATGCAGGATAGCCGCCGTGGTATGAGGCAGCTTGAGAAACCGCAGGCAGAGCGCTCGGCGCTTCGTACCGTATTGAAATTGCGCTGCGCGACGTCAGACTTAATCTTCATGCGCTAATCGTCCAATTCACATTCCATCGATGAACTGAGGGGCGACACTTTTTTCCTCTTGATGCATGACGGACGTGTAGTAGAGTTGAACTGAGTGGGTCATCAGGTCTCTTTCATATAAGAACCAAACTTGAGTCCAAATATACTATCGGCAGCACATCGAAGGGCGCGAAGAAACAAGACGCCTCTTCCACTCTGTCTCGCGATATTGCTAAAGGGTGCGACCGTCACGGATGGCCTAAAGCCCGAGTGTTAATTGCGCGTTTGACGTCCTCATATTCACCACTCCTGTCTTGCGTTCCTCCGTCGGAACCCAAGCAGCTCTACCGTCCACAGTCCCCTTGCGCACTGTATGCACCGCGACCGAGCGGCGGCGGTCTTGCCCAGAGGGGTCCGGCACCTCCGTGTGCGCATTGACAGTCGGTGTGTAAAGCGACGTCTGGAGGCGGAAATCGCCTTCCCATGAGGACGGCAGAGACGCCGACGTACGTGCGTTAGACGTGCGCGCGGTGAGAGTGAGGACGTGCGAGACCGGCGCGGAGGGGACGGCGAGGGATAGGTGCGCGTTGGACGTGCGCGCGTCGATGGAGAACGTGCCATTTGTGCGGTCCACGTCAGCCGAGACGAGCGTTGTGGTCGCCTCGATGTGGCTGCAGCAGGGTGGATACGTCAATATGAGGTTTTGCATGCCACCTGGGAAGCTGGGCATTAGGGGACGTACTTGTTCGATGTGCGCATGATGAGGTCCGTGCCGTCGTCGTCGCCAGCGTCGAGCAACTGCACGTCAACGTCGATGGGCGCGTTTGAGGTGCGTAGGTCCAGGCGGTGTGATGCGTTGAACGTGCCCGAGATCGGACCGTTAGACGTGCGCAGAGTGGCATAACCCGCACCGAGGCTCTAGTCACGGTTGTCAGTACTAGCACATTCAGGATATAGATTCAATGATAGCTACTTCGGAGATAATTCGACTGTTCGACGTCTGCAAGTTGATAGCATCAAAGAACACCTTGCCTTCAAGCTGGTGCAGACGATGCGCGAACAGAGACATATCGGTCTCGAACTTCTTCACCACAGTCGGACCATTCTCCTCGGCGCCGGAAGGGATTCGCACCCACACCTCGAAACTCGCTCTGTATTGCTCGCATTCACGGGACCATCTGCATCGCAAATCCTTGGGCCTCTGCGTAGCGTTAGTGTGAGGGTGATATGCAATTGAGAATGGAATCACATACGAAAATCCCAACACCGTTCTTTCCCTCGGCAGCCTGGAGTAAGCACACTTCAGCGTTCTCGAACGCGACTTCGTGATCGTACGCCATTATAATGTCCACTTTCACATCGTCCGCATCGGCTGACTCATGCGTAATGTGGACGTTCCCATATGTAAGGGCACCGTGGGAGACGAGGTATAGAAGGTCGGAGGAGAGTGGCAGCGCGAAGGATGTGCGTGCGGAGTGTGCGAAGCGGTCGAGGTCGCCAGATTCGAAGTCAGAGTCGTCCTGGTCGAAGCTAGGCGAGCCGTCCTTGCTCCATTCAGCATACTTGATGCAATCGCGTGTCCAGCGAGGATCGATATCTGGCTTGTCACTGCTTCCAAACGAGCGGTAGGGCTGGAGGAATGGGAGTCAGAAGCCACAGTTCTTGTTCGTGGTCAATTAGGTACTCACAATGAAATGACCGCGTCTTTGGAAACACCCCACGATGACATGGGCGCAGAGCAAAAACAGGAGGGTAGCGCATACTGCGATGCGAAGCCTACGACGTCTGCGCAGGGAGCTGTCACTCCGCGGCTCAACCGGGCGACAGGAAGGAGATGGGAGAAGCAGTTGGGTCTCCGGATGAGACTTTTCAGGCCCCTCTGGATAGGGCGGAGGCGATGCGAGAGCGATAGTCTGGTATTGTCCCGCCATTGTTGTGTTCTGGCAGCAATCCTCGGCCGAGTTTCGAGATATATAGGAAGCAGATCATGGGCGCCGAACCCCGCAGCGTGCGCAGATGATCACGCGCGAAAGCTCTAGACACTGCGCAGGCTGCGGCTGCGTATATGCATGCGGTGATGACGAAAGCCCCGGTTTCGTTCCTGAACCAAAATGTGGGCTGTGGCTGCGCTGACAAACTACCTTCTTGGCGAAAGGCAGGTGTCAGTGCTGCGGCCTGCGATCAGATACTATGTTCAGGTTCAACCATCCAGCCTAGCGTTATAATTGCCGAACTTTAGGCCTTGAAACGCTGGGGCATAATTCGTTCTTAACTAAACTCGTCTGTCATTGTTCGCAGCGTTGAAGCGACACCAGAAGTAGTGATTGAGACTGGACATATTGGAATGGATCGGACGGTTTCGCGAGGCTTGCGAGGCCTGCCAGTGACTGGTTGACCTGCCAGCATGGGCGCCCGATTGCATCTCAGCGAGATTAGATATGATCCTATTCGAACATCTCCGGGCGCTAACTGCAACGACTCGTTTTCGCCACTTCACCAGAGGTCACGCA